CGTGTTTATTTTTATGGATCTGTCATATCCAACACTGTCAGTGTCCAAGCTATAAATTATTTAGAATGTTCAGAGAAAAGTGCACAAAAACACTCCAGACTTTATCAAACGTTTTCGATTTTTAGAACATATGAAAACTGTTAGACTACATTGAGGTTGAAGTCAAATAACAGTTGAATATTTTTTACTGATAGAATGAAGCTATTCGACTTACATGAAGACGGATGAGTCCTTATTTCAATACAGAACTTCTAAAGCAGTTAACCAATTCTTAGGAACTTCTAAAATTCTAAGCTAATTTTTTAGGAAAACAGAATACCACAATCTTTTTTTGATGCACAATACATTTTAAACTTCGCTTTCGCTTAAAGACGTTGAAATACATCATTTGTTTACTGATAATTTATAATAACCTTGTTGATTTTAGGTCGTCCGCAGCTGATGAGAAACCGTAAATTAAAACACATTCCTTTGAAACGACTTTGCTAAAAATCACGTTCTTATTGCAATCACTTAAGAAATGAGAATGTTTATTTAGTAAAAGGGACTACCAAGTGGTTTACCAGGCAAAACGACATGACAACACTACTAATATATATGATAGAAAATTTAATAACAAGTTATAATAATAGTGATAATAAAACCATGTAAATAATCACAGAGTAAAGGTAGTATTTATCTTTTTTTACTGCATATTTTGAAGTTCAACAGAATACAATCATTTATTAGCGTAATGAGAAAAAAAACTCGATACGCATCGAATGAAATCTGCCTTTAGCAAAGCATTCAAACTATATCCTCTTTTGTGTACCACAATGATCCTCAAACAGTATTTTAAACACAATCCCTCATAAAAAGTTATACACGTGGCTAGACAGTGTTCATTTTATTTTCTGCTTACATGCAATTATAAAGATTAGAAAAGTTATAAACATGACTATATTTTTATTCAGTATCAAACTAACTTTTCATTCTAGACCCCAGCGTTAACTGTCAAAAAATTGCAAGTAGAATTATCGACATGTGAAACAGTTTCACAAGTCATTGAACGGTAAGTTGGATTATCAAAAAATTCGGTTTCTCACAAACTAAGATTTACTTAGATTTACAATTATAACAATGACTAGTGCCGACAATTTCGTTTCCCTTTTAAAACACGTACAGAGGAATACTAATCGCTTCATTGCAGAGATAGTATTTAACCTAAAGACTAGTTAATCAACAAAAATAAATCTTCAAAATAGTGCTAATAAGTGGAGATGACGAAGAGCATGATCATCTGGAATCTTTGAGCGCAAATTTTAGACTACTTTGCATGCATTTCTCATCTATCAAAAGCGAGGTAATACAAAACAGTCATCTACTTTAGCCTTTTATTAAGGTACACCATTGTCGTGCCAACTCACGGAACAGTTAAATAAGAGACATCAATGTTCGATTCAGCCATGCGCTGGTTGATTCCCAGTAAGAGAGCAATAAAAACGAGCTTTTTTCATAGTAATAATACTTTAACAACGTCATGAGAGGAAGGAGATTATCTGAAACGTGATGTATAGATGTATGTATAGATATGAACAAGGACATAGATTTATCGAAGCACTTGCTATTCATCTATTCAAACCACCTTTATGTATTCAAAAACAATTTGTACTTACAATAAACCTACTCCAGCAGCATTAAGTTCATCTCTTCAGACGGCTAGTGGTGGTGATTTGATCTTTGATTTTTTAATCTCTTGTTTTCGTTTTGCCCTCGTTATCATTTTTACTTACAGTTCCACTGGGTTAATTGACCATTCTAATTTTTCGTATAAATTATTTAACAAGTTCATGAGTAATCAGATTGTTCGAAATGTATAGCGCTAATACACTGCATGTTTCAGATGATCTCCGTCTTCTCTTGATGTCGTTTAAATTTGCCAAGATATGCAGCTGACGAGTCCTGAATAGGAGGAGACGTGCATCCTGGATTCCACTGCTAGACACTGCCCATCAATAATATAGAATTGGGAATGCAGCAATATCGAGGCATCCAAGCAGGACCCCATATACCAATAGAGACTGATTTATTCGGTGGTCCAATCCACGACGGAGTGATCCAATTTACAAAACAAAAGCTATACTCCTCCTACAAGAAGTGACTATCCAAACTTGATGATCTAGTGGATAGCGCTCTGGTGTTTGAAGCGACCGATCCTTGGGCACAATATCGTTCACTGGGTAGCAGGTACACCCAGCTGATGAGTCCAAAATATGACGAAACGCGCGCCGTTGACTCCCGTGCTAGTCGCTATCCATGAGTAATATAAATGGGACTAACTGCTGAAGTAGTAATATCACTTGACCACTGCCTTCTTCCAGGTATGTCTCTTTTTAAAACAACTAAGTCCCTTATGACTGATATTTACACTGAAAACGTTTTTAGGCACCCACCCTACTTGTGACCCTTTCCGCGTATTTTGTTTCTTTATTCCCCAGTGTGCACTTGTTGTTGCGAAGTTTAAAAGTTTAAATCTGTACACTTTTGGATGAGATTCTCTCTAAACAGTTATGTGGATTGAGATTAGAAACTTATGTTAAACACATCAAGGTGGCGAAAAACCTTTTGATAGCTAATGCCTCAATAAACATTAAAATACGTCTCCAAGAGATTTTATCTGTTTGATTTAATGTTTACTAGAAAAAGTTAAAACGAAGTACACAATTAAAGACTTTATCCTATTAAAAGTAATACACTACACAGAATGTCAGTGTATCAAAAATAGACACTAGCATAAGTGTTTGACGATATAACCGAACATAGAAGTTCATGACAAGACAGTATACTCTTATACTTAACAGTTCGATTAGATACTTTCTATCTTAAGATCAGATCTTCAGAATTTAGAATGTTCACTTAACTAAACATCTTACTATGCGGAAAGAAACTGATTTTCACCTTATGATCAGAAACTTGTTTTGTTGTACATTTCTTCAAATAATACTTCATCTGAGTCACTTTAATTTACGTTTATTTGTTTACAATCTGGTCTAAAATGTCAGATAATTTTGTTGCTTGGCATATGTAGTGAATGATAAGATTAATAAGGTTTAAGAACTCTTCTTGTATGAATCTTGGTGACTAGCAGAAGAATCCAGGGCGCGCGTCTCGTTCTGTTTGGGACTCGTCAACTGGATATGGCTGCACCTCAGTGAGTGATGTTGTTCCCGCCGAGGCTCGAACCCAGTACTTTTCGCTTCAAACGCTTGAGGATTATCCACTAAGCCACTGGTGTACGATACCCATTTCTTGTGCAACGGGTGTCGGTTGCTGTAATGACACTTGTAATTTTTCGTTGCTATACAGGGTCAAACTGCTCGACCTCTGTTGGCAGATGGGCTTCTACCCTCGATACTGCTGGATATTCATGATGCTATATTGATCTTGGTAACTGGCAAGGGGATCCAGGACACGTATATGGTCCTATTGGAACTTCTCAGCCGGATGCACCTGCACCTCATCTCCCAACATAGGTCGAACGACTCGGCCCTCTATAGCAACGGGAAATTACAAGTATCATTACAAATCTTCTTGTATTTTAATTCTGTGCCAAGTACAGATTCTCTAGAGCAAAGAATCAACAATACTAAACTTCATACACGATTGAAGTCCTAAGTAAAATTAGATAATTTATGTGAACTATGAGTAGGCGCTGAGTAAAATGTCGACATTAGATATAGTTTGTATTTCTGTATAAGTCACGACGTGTTTGAAACGAAATAATTCCAACGTTTTGCACGAAAGTCTGGTCCGAGCTTCTTCAGGGAAATAATTAAAAACTAAAACATCAAAGAAATATGAATGAATCCAAAAAAGTGTACTAAATCTCCATGTCCAGTCTTTTTCGTATGGTCATTGTCTTTCTAAAATATGATTACGTATCATTCAGTATGTCTCTTGTTGTATGGCTGGCGAATGTGTGTGTTTTGTCATTCCTTTTCTGCTTTGTTATAAATACGAGAAAAAAGGTAACTCGTGACATTGCAATCATTCGGCAATTTTATAAGTACAATAGGACATATGAGGTGGATAATAATAATGAATTACACCAATCCAGATTGTGTTATTGCTGATACAGAGATAATGAAGTTGAGGCTGATTGTTGAGACGAATCCCAGAGCCACTCTTTCTGCTAACCAACTAGCGATTCCTAAGAGGCAGCTACGTTTACTCCATCTCGTCTGTTCAAACTGTCCGTATTCACTGATATATATAGGGCTTTAGTATGAACCTTCGTTAGTATGACCCAAAACCTTTTTACATAACCTTGGTTCTGTCAAAGTTAATTTCGTGGCCCAACCCTGAACAGTGTAGTACGATTGCGGATGTGTTTTCTAGCTTTTTAATCTCTGCTGAGGTTTTCGGAATCTGCTTTAGGCAGTCTATGCTCCTTCACTCTTGCATTTACACTAGATAACTTGGATAAAAAGGAATATGGTAAATAGGAAAAAGTGAAATGCAATCAGCAACCATAAACACGTTCGTGCAGTGGGTAATAAGTCACACCAATCGTGTAAGGGATACTTATAATGCTTAGTTGTCCAAACCTCAATAGGTAGAGAGGGATTCGAACTCGTAACCCACTGGCTGGAAGCCAAATGTCTAGACTAGTGAGTCAGAGATTATAACCTGGCCAGAAGCAAAGCAATGGAAAGAGTCAGAGTTGCTTGATAGTTCCCAAAAAATCATATGGTGATTTGTATATAATTGTTTGACTGAATAAGTTAGCAGAAATCAATGAAAACAACCTATTCTGGAGTAGTGTCGAAATGCCGAGGCTACCTGCATATCCATAAATATACCAGTACCTTGTACACAATGCACTCGAAAATGAGCATTTTACCGCTTTTTCTGCTTTCGAAAAATCTGGCAATTATCAAAGGTAGAATTTAAAAACCACTTCATAAGCATTCACAGATATATTAGCTATTCATGTTATATTACAAATCTATATGACTTACAGCTGACCACCACGGTGCATGACTTTGAAATGCGCCATAAACAATTTCCAAAACCATAAATCGAAAACCTGCTAATACCTAAGAAGCAATAAACAAAAAGATATAAATTTTTTGAGGGGGTTGTGGAGATTTGGAAATATTTCAAGTTGTTATTCATCGAAGACTGACATCAGTTGGAGGAACAAAGGAAACCTGGGAGCACTGGACAGTCAGTCAGACAGTCAGTCTTCGATGAATAACAACTTGAAATATTTCCAAATCTCCACAACCCCCTCAAAAAAATTTAATTGAACTGGTGCTCATTGGTGACTAGCTTCGAGAAGTATTCCCGAAGTTCCAATGACAAGTCGTGACCGGTGGAGTCAAAGCCTGATGGCCGTGAGGACAAATACTCAACGATGATATTGGGTGGCGGTTTGCGCTATATCGTGAGCTAACAGAAGTTGGAAATATGGAGCATTGGATTCTGACCCAGTGGCTCAATGGTAACGCGCTGGCGGCGGAACCTGAAGGTCGCGGGTTCGATCCCTGCTGGTGGGGTCGTGGGTGCGCACTGCTGAGGAGTCCCATACTAGGACGAAACAGCTGTCCAGTGCTCCCAAGTTTCCTTTGTTCCTCCAACTGATGTCAGTCTTCGATGAATAACAACTTGAAAAAGATATAAACCTGGATGTGCTATAAATTGTATGATACCGAATCTCTGAAAACATTTTTTCAGAGAAGAGTCATTCGATTTATAAACGTAAGAGTTAAGTGAAAAATTTAAACCATAGCAATATTAAAGTACAGTCAGTCAGCCATTCAAAATCAACATAAGACCTGGGCATTACTGCATTACATAAGCTCCAGGCATCTCAGTCGATGAAGCTTAACAACCTTATAAACTGACTTTCTCATCTGCAAAAATTCTACGCCTGAATTGCGTGGTCCTGACGTATCCTTGTATCCTTACAGAGATTTGGTTGGCCACTGATCAGAAAGGATCGATCTGACGTTCTAAGTAAGTAGAGAGGTCGCTGACACACTCAATGTGCTCCCTATTTTTAGACAAGACACCACGGTAGACCAGTTCTAAAGCAATAATTTGCGTTTGGGTAGTGAGAAAAGCATCCAAACATTCTCTGGTTGCCACTCAAAGTGTCCAGAAAACTTTGCATCGATCTGGGTCTCATCTAACAGGACTATGTCATCTACGTATTCTAGGTTTACAAAGGATTCCTTCATGACAATCTCAATCCATGTAATGTCAGATGACGAAAAGGGGAACTTCATAAATACGTCGATGACAAAATTAAAAAAGAATGAAGATAGTGGTTGGCAGACACCACTCGATGTACACAACTCATATGATAGCTCACTATAAGCTTTGACGCGCCCATGGGTGTTCGGGTACAGAGCTTTCAACAGGGTGACGTACTCACTCGACACCCCTTTCAGATGGAGAAACTGCCACATGATATCTTGATTGACAGAGTCGAATACCGTCTTCAGAACAAGAAAAACAAATAGTATCCGGCAACGGTAAGTGTGCCTGTTTTCCAGAAGTTGGCAGAGAGCGAGTATCTGGTCAATATACTCACTGCCAGATTTGAAAGCTGTATGGTTTTCTCAGGTTTCATCCTTCCGAGCTCTTAATAATTATAGATTATTAATTATCATCTAGAATCTTAGATGCTTTGTCAATCACATTGCTTCCTCCTGCGGCTATCAAAAAGGAGTCTTTCTTAAAGACTGGAACAATCAGAGATCTAGACCAGTCAGACCATATATTTCATCCGCATACGCTAGCTTACACCTCAGTTAACCTGAAAAACAGCCCTCAACCACTGTCTTTGAACACCGCTGGTACTAGTCCATCTGGCCCTGCTGCCCTCTCTTGTTTTAGATTACCTACAGGTTTCTCAAACTGTATAAGTGTTGAGGGTTCCAGCTTGTTATTCCGTTTAGGATCCGAATGGATAGCAGGCAAGCAATTAGTGGCTGGAGGCCAGTCGGGCTGTTCCTCAAAGTGTTCTGCTCATCACTCATGTCGTCTCCCCAGTGAGTAAATTCCAGATTTATGCATTTTCACTATGGTCCTGATAATCATTCACATTTTAGTCCTAGTTTCCTTAATAAGTCTAAATAACTGTCTACGGTTACCTATCGTCGCTGCCTTTTCAATCCCATTTAACTGTTGATACTCACCACTGTCTCCGGCCACTTCACATACTTCTTGCTAGTCTCCGTTTGAGGTGTTTTCGCTCTTCACTATCCTCGAAGGCTCCAGGAATGCTTCCATATGCATCCACTAATTCAGAAGAAGCTGCTGAGATCAACTAACCCTTTCTAACCGCTTTCTGAAAGTTAGCAACGGTCTTCAACGCTGTTTTTACATCAGACTGAAGATGGTATCAAGCTTCTTCAATATGAAAGATATCACCAAATTCGATAATTGTCTAACCACTTCCTTGTTGATAGCAGCCTTAGTATTCCGATCATCAAACTGCACTCGGAATGGTTTTGTTGCTACAGCTTTTATACGTTCACTTAGGCAAAAAATATGCGCGCACGAAACAACGCACGATCTCTGTCCGCACATGTGTGTCTTAGAAGCGCTAACCTTCAACTAACCTTCTCCAGCGATAACTGATAGCAATAAAGTCTAGCTGTGTTCACCGTGGAGTTGCGGTCAGTGGACGTCATGTCACACAAACAATATCTCTATGTCTGAAGTTAATGCTGCCTAGAAATGAATGGTTGTCTAAGCACAGATGCAGCTGGCGATCGCCGTAATCTGTCTATTCAGTTGGGATTTCGAAAGTATTTTGTAAGTGTTTTCCTACCTGGATTAAACTACCCACCTAATACAACAACCACATTTGAGCATCTGGCCTCAAAAGCGGGATAGACAGCTTTCGGCAGAACTCATCTTTCACTTCTTCCGAACTGCAGTCAGCGAGTGTGTAACCAGAGATTACAAAGAGACATTAGCGAGTTTCACTGCTCTCCTAGGTACAAACACCACCACTCAACCGAACAGCGCATAAGCCACTGTCAACTAGAATCCATGCATTCCAGCAGTGCACTTTCTGTCTAGAAAGTTAACGCTATACCTACACACTCCCGAGACAGCAAGAACTAGCCATCGGACCTCCAGAAACTCGAAGGGTGAATTTCGCAGATTCACCTTATTCACTAGATGAGGTTAAGTGAATAACTACATTTGGGTTTTGCAAACGTGTCTCACATATACAGCAAACATCCGTGTCTCGACATGTCAGAGTTTCGACCAACGAAGAGTAATGTCTGGTTTGATGGAGAGTGCGGACATTGAAAGCGTTGATATCCACTTTGTTGATCGATTTCAAGAAACCAATGATGCCGTTTTGTGAACTCGAAAGCGTTTGAGCTGGAAGAAATTGAAGATGAGATGGGATAATTAACCGAAAGACGTGAGGAAAGATTAGGAGACAACGATGCTGAAGGTTGACAATGATCTGAAGAAACTTGAATGGTAGTAGGGTTGTATGGGAGAGTGTCTCTTTCCAACTTCCTATACCGCAAAAAGCAACCTCTTTTTGAGGTACTTGACATATAAATGGGATCAGTAACAGTAGCACGTAACCGCAGAAGCAGAGGGACATCTGCATGAGAGCTGCTACACATGACCCTATTAGGAGTTTGCGGTTTAGCTTTGATTGACTTGCATTTAGCTAGAAAACACCAATCGACTCCATTGGAAGACCGCAGGATAGGGGGATGAGCTGTTTTCTGGGTGAAACTTTCCCAACTCCGCTTCTCAAACTAAATGCTGCATCAGCGTGGTAATGATAGTCATCCAAGGGAAACACCCTACTGCTGTCACACCCCCATCCAGCCAGTAGTACGACTTCACTCCCGGACGCGCATCAACGTAAAAATTCACCATTATCTAACTGACTTTTCTGATATCGTAGGACTTTAAGGAAATGACTGTTCCACCAGCATAACTTGTTGGGTCACTTGTGACACGCTAATCAGACCACTACATCAAGGTAGTAGCTATAAAAGCACATGTACCCATTATCCGAAAATTAATAGAACATACCGAAATGTGTTGACAATACACCGCTCCAATTATCAGTAACATAACCTCTTTAAAGCATTAGACCTTACCTACTATCGAACACACACAATAATGGCCGGACAATTCAGCTCAGCAGAACTTCAGCAACCAAGTTTCTGACATAATCAAATGCAGAATAATCATAAATCTAAGTACCCAGGAAACAAAGAAATTTATATACAACAAACTCATTTGTATCCAGAATAAAACATATGCAAGGTCTTTGAGAGAAGAAACAAGGTTAGTACAGTAAATTACCGGTCTCATCTGTCAAAACAAGTGGATATTCAGTAACACGGTAAGTGAAGTGAGCCATCTATTGTCTACGCGATTAACTGTTTGGCACCCACATGATAATATGTATTTCACAAATATGATGACCGTTTTATCAGTAATTTCACTACTGGAGGTTAATGGATGAAAAGTAGTAGCAAGATAAGGGAATAATAACAAGCTACGAACAGTTCGACTACTGACCTTACACAGATATATCAACTAAGGTAGAACGTCGTGCAAAAAGACATCCGTTTAATTGGATATGTTGAATAAGAGGATACGCAGAGGAATTAAGTAATGTTAAAATAAGAGCACCAACCATGAATTTCTAGACCTACATGCTACTTTCAGTCACACAAGCACTTACTAAAGTTTTACAAATAAGAGCATATAACTTGATTTGGACCGAATGCAACAAAAAAGACTGATAACTGTACTTAAACGAGAGTAAGAAACCTACTACAATAAGTGTTGCTTATAATTTAGCAGATGCATATATGCTGGCCGCAACTTCAAGATCATTGAGAAAGCATGGAGTGATGCTTCGACGCTGTAGGAAAAGTCAGCATAAATACCTATGCACACTCAATAATTTGAAGAGTAAAAATAAACCCTGAAGGTTTTTAAATGTATGACTATTAAAACCCACCGCGCATAGTGAATACAGTGAACATAGCTGCAAGACTGACAAGATGGAATATCAGGTGGGAAGAAGTCCCTGACTAGAAATGAAGATTCTGAAGTAATGATGGGACAAAGGTAAGTAACAGAGGCGGGTAGTTAAAATAAAGACTAAAAACAAACGAAGACAAATACCAAACCATAGAAGAGCAGAAATGAATGGTGAAGGAGAATAGGAATCTACGGCATTTTTCGAAAGCTTATCATATACGAGGAATGAGGCTAGTCCATTTATGAATACTAACAACTAGGCTACATATAATATAATGGTTAAACCATAGTAAAAAAAACCGTGTAAACACGTACAAAGACTAGACATGATACTAACATTCAGCTGGTGATACTATCATACGTATTTTGTCATTATTCTGTAAATTATAAACATTGCTAACACCAGTCATTTAATAATTGACTTCGTATACATAATCACAAAGGTCAAGGTAACTGAAATAACACGCCATGCGATACATTTTTTGCGTACAAGAGAGGTAGTTTAGCTAGGAAATAGTCTATAGAATAATCATACGGAACGGAATTTTATATATATGTAATAATATATATATATATATATATATATATATATATATATATATATATATATATATGTAATAATTATATGTAATGTTCAGTCAATGAGTAAGGGATACAAAGGGAAACTGTACTGCGAAATTCAAAAACGATGCATCGGTTAGCATTGCCAGCCTTCACCTGTACAGAAGCGCATGTTTAGCTACAGTGCAATAAAAAACGTAGAAATATGGCTAAAAATGGCGACAGTCCGTAAAACCTGCGAATTCTAATCTAAAAGGTGCCACAAACTGCACATATAACGGTAAAAGTAATATGAGAAATAAGTTAACGACAACAAAATGATAAATGAAGAGTTTACTTTCAAAAAGACAAATAAAAAACCCTTTTGAAATCGACAAATATCTTCAAGTGCTTGATTGTACCGACGCACAGACTGAGACAGGTCGATCACTGGATTTCGTTCATCAAATCAACACCGAGTATACACATCAGGAATGATTCGACATTAATCTCGAATATACAGGAAATTCTTCCGAGATGAAAACCAAAAAGGTTGAAGTAACAAAACCATATTAACTAAGCCTAAAAGTTATATACTCATCGGCAATAAATTGCGCTCGGAAAGTCAGCTAGTAACACGTCATCACAGTACCCGGATTTTTCTCTGAAATTTGCTACTATACTTCTGAAAGACTGACAGTTGGTGACCGAAACAGAAATCAACCTCTTACATCATTAGCCGCTCAGGTAGGGATTTCTGAACTGAAAGTGAAGCCTATATTTCGTCCAAAACACTAAGTTCTATGTACTGCAATCTCAGTGAACTTGCAACCGGCTAGCTCGTTCTGAAAAACCAATGTATGATTCTGACGTGGACGCTCCAGTTGGGACATGTTTGAAATAAGCGATGAACCGATAAGAAATGCTGACATCGTTGTCTGGGAACACATTCAATTCAATGGGACATTTAGGACATGTTTATCGATCCAAAGCAAACCAAGCAAATCTAAGTGATGACGACGATTCATGAAGTAACATGTATTGCTGAACTAATGCTCTTTGAACTAAACATGACAGTTAACCTTTCCAATATTCTTCAGTGCATCTAAAAAAGTATTTAAGGCTAAATGCTCTATCAGACATCAAAGTCTGTGCTATGTACCTCGAGAGATTAGAATGACATCAGATGTATCAAGTTGAAGATGGAATATCTTTTGACTAACCGACAGGCTAGAATACGTTCTTTCTCTCTAAAAGTTAATTTTGAATGATTCAAAATGTTTTAAATTCAATTGCATGACTTGTGTTTGTAAAAAAACACTAAGGGTTCATGAAAAGATTTTTCTTTGCGTCCAAACTGATGAGGCTATCAATATCTTTTGCTTCTTGAATTGACGAAATTTTACAAAACTTCATTAACTATAATACCAGGAAACTAAGGATTTCTACATAGGGAATTCGAAGGAGGCCTTAATGCTTGAATAAAGACTCAGAGCTATGAACTGCATTTATTGCACCTAAACTAAGTGGCTTTGAATTGTTCTTTATCATAACCCTATCATGCTTCAACTTTATTAGGTGTTAAGATTAGGATATAATTATCTGCGATATTGTTTTAAGATCTACTTAAGCTATTCACTCTGTGAAGCCATGTCTCATTCAATCTCTGAATCTGTATTATGTGTATACATCCCTCCATTGCATAACAGCACATGAAATCGTGTGCACAGTGTAAAAAGCGGACGAGTCCTACTGAAATTTATGAATTTTTCTTTTAACTGGTATTAATTTTGGCATTAAGACTTTTTTCTGCGATTGCCTTAGTCGATCTCACTTCCTATTTCGCTCCAAACATTTTATTATCAAATACACTGCAACTCGACTTGGTGAAGATATTCGTACTAGACTATGAGCTACACGTAAAGGTTTATGATGTTAACTGGTCGCTTAGGTCATAGGAGTTGGAGCAGACCCAAGTCCTTGTCCCATTCATTGAAATTGAATGTTCGAGTCAATGGGCCACCATTCTGCATTTTTAAATGTTTCCATCCAACTTAGTTTTTTTTCCAAATCAAATTTTTGTGAGATTCTGGCTCACCATATTAGATTCTTGACTTTCGACCAACGTTACCGGGTGGAACACCTTAGTGTACCCAAGTAGTAACAAAGCTATGACAGATGTGGATCATCTTCTAGCGTATAAATCTACCTGCAGTTAGTTGTTAAGGTGCATTTCATTTCTTCTGCATACGTTCATTGTGACATCTCAAACCGATGTACTATTATACAGCTTCTGAGTCGACAGTGTATAGATTAGACAGTTGGTAAGCAAGCAACTGCATCATGGATCAAGTTCATGTATCCACTAAATACTATTAAATGAACCATTTCATACATGTGAAATTTCTCTGTCATTACAAGAACATAATGTTACTTTGTACAAGTAAACATCACAACTTTTCACAATCAATTTCGCTCCAAATGACTTAAGTACCAGTCCATAACAATACAGTCATGCCGTTTGATTTAAAAAAATTCAAAAAGAATTCCAGTAGGCAATACTTACCACAGTATCAAAAAGTGACTTGGAGAAGGAATATGCTTTAATTTCTCCCCATATTGCAGGACCGATGTCGCCATCATTCGTTTCCTGTAATCATTAAATTAGTTCACTCCGTAACAGGAAGAAATATAAGTTACAAATAATAATTAGACTAAAACATTGAAGTGAAAGGCAATCGAACTACAGCACTCCATTTCTAAAAGAAGTGGAATTAACTTTGCTGATTTATACTTGCTACTAAGCACCTAGCTAGCACAAACTCCAGACATAAAGACATTATTTGAAGTGGCGTCCACCGAGCTCAAATCAGCGACAGACACAGATAGACCATATTGCTATCAGTTATCGCTTGAGAAGGCCAGTGGGAAACTGCCGCTACTTCTGGAGCACGTGTTTGGATAGCGACAACGCGTTGGTTTGAGCCTATATATATCTACCTTTCACTGGACGTAGAAAAACTTTAGCAACAATACCATCACTAGTGCAGCTCGACAACGAAAACACTGAGGCCACTTTCAGTGAGAAACTGGCTAGGCAGTTTTCGGAACAGAACACTGTCACTCATACAGAAGAAGCTTGGTGCCATCTCCAGTTTGCTGTTAAAAGTGTTGAAGACTATAGCCGACTCTCAAACAGTGGCTAAAAAGAGCCAGTGGATATCAGCAGCTTCTTTTAAATTAATAAACAGACGTGAGTGTATCCCTGCAGGTTCTGAGCATAATGAGGAAAGAACGTAACTCAAATGTAGACTGACAGAGCGTCTACACAATGATCACGAACAGTGATGAGCAGCGAAGGCTAAAGAGATGGAAAAGGCACAGGCGATAGGCAACAGCAGACAATTATTTAGAATTATTAACGAAACTGGGGGAAAAGGTCAACGGTCAGCGAGACTACAGAGGAAAAGGATGGGTCTGCGGCCCACTCACAAGGAAGACGACTGGAACGATGGGTGGAACACTTCGAGGAACAGTTTAACTGGCCTGTAGCCACCATTGAGTTGCCCGCTATCTAATTGGACCCTGAAGTGAACATTGAGATAGGCCTATCAACACTTGCAGAAATCGAGAAAGTGGTAGGTAATTTGAAACGAGGAAAAGCAGTAGAACCAGACGGACTAACTCCTGAGGTATACAATGATGGTGTTTTTAGTCAAGTTAATTGAAGTGTTATCCAGTGTGAAAGCTAAATATGATCTCCTCTGACTGGTTTCAATCACTGATCACCCCAGTCTTTAAGAAAGGCGAGAAGTCCTCTTGTGATAACCACAGAGGAGTCAGCCAGACAAACATAGTATCCAAAATCCTAGGTTCGATAATCATTAGACGCCTGAATGGAGCTCAGGAACAGCCAGTCCGAGAAAACCAGGAAAGCATCAGACCTGGTCTTGGGTGCATCGACCAAATATCCCCACTCCCCCAAGCTCTGGAACACTGGCACGCTTACCGACGCCCGACAATAGCTGTATTTCTCAACCTGAAGGCAGCGGCATTCGGCTCCGTTGATCGAGAAGTCTTATGGTAATGTCTCTCACTGAAAGGTGTGCCGAGTAAGTGCATCACCTTATTGAAAGCTCTCTACTCGAACACTTGTGGGCGTGTTAGAGCCTATGGTGAGATGTCTGGGGAGCTGTGCTCGTCGAGTGGTATCCGTCAAAGGTGCCCACTGTCTCCATTCTTATTCAATTTTATCATAGATATTCTTATGGAGGTCTCCCTGTCATCACCTGACTACACAGAGGCTGACCTAATCATAGGGAAACTTTTGTTAGACCTAGAATATACAGATGACATAGTCCTGTTAGTTGAAGACGCTGACAAGATGCAGAGTCTTCTGACGATTTGAGAATGTTTGAGATGCGTTTCTCAATACCCAGATGTAAATTGTTGCTTAAGAATTAGTCTTCAGTGGTTCCTTGTTTAACAACGGATTGAAATGGTTGTATGTTAAATGCTTCACTTACCTGGGAAGTCGGGTAAGCGCCGGGGCGTTGGTCAGTGGCAAACAAAATCTCTGCACGGATACAAAAGGTTCAGTTGGCTTTTGCCAACTTATGCTACCTGTGGTGCTACCGCGATATCTGATTGTCTATGGTAATGGCTGAGTGCACTGTGCTGCAGTCCGCTCTTTTCTACTGTATGGCTGCGGAACATGGCCATTGAAGGTAGAAGACATGAGAAGGCTTCAGGTCTTTGACCACCGTTGCCTTCGTAACATAGCCTGTGCTTCTTGGTGTCACCACGTGATTAACGCAGAAGTCAGGTGTACAGTTTCACGGAGGAGTGGTAAGACAGTTGATGCGGTTGTGAACCTTCATCAACTGAGATAGCTAAGACATGTATTACTTATCCCTACTTACTGTCTGCCTGGTTGCACAATGTTGATCGAGGTAGGTCCAGACTGGAAAAAGGCTCGCGGTAGCCAAATTAAAGCGTGGCATCAGTGCATGAAGTCATTCACTGTTCGTCTGAGTCATGTAGGGCGATGCAAACTAGCCGGTTGGGGTCCGCGAGACAAGAGAAACCAGTGGTTGGAGACTCTAGGTGATATGGCTCAGAACCGATGTCAGTGGTTCAGATTTATACACACATTATCCTCATCTTTACCGCCACACTTAACCCCATCATTCTCTCATTCCGTCTTTTTCCCTTTTACCACTTTCTACTTCTTTTGATCGGTTTTTCCTTTTTTCCTCACTTTCAGTTTTATTGCCTCGTTACTTGACGTTTCGATATGAGGTGTGGCAACTTGGATCATTGCGCAGTAATGTCTGGTTCTATGATCTTGATGATGACTAACAACCGAATACAAGTATGAAACGGTCTATGTTGAATGGAATGAATGAATGGAAAACTAAAACTGAACAAGCTTCAAACAAGCAGTTATCAGTAACTAAACTCTGTGAACAGAAGACTTATTTAGCACTTTACAACTTGCTTCACTTGTGGCGGCGGCGAGATATTTGACTATCTATCAAAGGTCGTTAACAGTAAAAGATATAAAGCGATTTCAGGCTTTGGATCATAGGTGTCTTCACAGTATCGCTCACGTTTGGTGGAAACGCCGTGTGAGCAATGTTGAGGTCAGGCGAAGGGTACTAGACAGGATAGATAAGTCGATTGATGAGGATGTGAACCTTCATCAGTCGAGATGGCTCTGACATGTACTGTGCATCCCGAACCACCACCTACATCGACGTGCTATACTAGGGGAAGTTTGATTATGTTGGAAAAGGGTTAAGGATGACCAGACCAAGACGTGGCACCAGTCGATGAAGTCCCTAACTGTTGGTCTGAGCAACGTTGAGAAATATAGGTTGTCTGGTTGGGGTCTTCGAGACAGAAGGAATCAGCGATTGAGGACTCTTGGTGACTGCTGAAAACCGGTCACAATGGCGCAGATGTATTGACCATCTTCTGAAGCTAGAATACTCGTACTAACTACTATCTTCAAATTGTTTATTCTCTTACACTACTTTGTTTACTTTGATGTCGCTCCTTTTCCATCCGCCTGTTTTTTTTGTACTACTCTAAAGTGTGACAAAACTTGAGCAGATGCACCTATGTCTTATACGTTGATTTTCTCAGCCAGTCAATGTCACTCGAGTAAGTGTCACTGATACCCTTTGACTTGTTACATGACCCAAATCAATAAAAACACCATGGCTTTATACAGCTACTATGAGATTCGTCCAGTCGTATTATTATGGGATTGATACTGACATACTCGAAGAACGATCAAAAAACATGCTACAGATAGAACAAGACCACCTCAGTTGGTGAAAAGTAACCACTATAAAGTCATTCGCCACTCGTGCACCTACATTCAATGCTTACATAGTGATTCTAGCGAAAAAGATAATCATCTTTGACCAAGTGACGCAGAAAATGGATAGTCTTTTAAAGTCGTTTGCTCATAAATGTCGTGCATCACATGCACACGGTAAAAATAACTACACAACCTAAGTTCACACTTCAACTTTCTGATAGAAGTGTAGTCAATTCTTAAGGAAGTACTCTTAAGTAAAGGCTGTTGATAAGTGTGGCATGCTGATTCCCTAAACATTTGTGCTACGTTTAGACAGACGGAACAAGATGAATTTCCCACAACGGTGTAGAGTTCTATATCACTATACTTCAGGAGTAAAAGGAAGAAAAAACAGGACATTAAAAAGAATATGAAGAATATTTCAAGAGAAAAAGAGCACGAATATATCTAGAAACTAGAGTAGCGCAAGAAATGAATGCACCGCTACTGTAACTAACTTCGAATTGTGTCACTGATTGTTTTCAACCATTGGCTACTAATATCTAGATAATCTCAGATAGATAGCCTACACTCTCGCAGACCAAAAGCCAGTGACTTCATGGATTGACCCCACACCTTAGATCCCACTTTAATCCTGATACAGCAGATACACCAGGTTAAGATAAACGCTCTTTACAATATGAGCAGCATGTAATTCTACTTTGTTTATTAGAATTGTCACATAGTGAAACAGCATTATTTACTAGATGATGTTCCGGACATAATTTACTGTCTATATTCATAGAGACTTAACACTACTCAACCTTTGATTCAAAAACCCACCAGTGACGCTCTTCAGGCAACCATGATTAAAAACGTGTGACATTCTTATGCCATCCGTATCAAACGACTGTGCTTGATAACTACTCAAGATTAGCGTGAACTGCTTTCTATTATATTCTCCATTTAAAAGAGTGATACCACATCAACACCATAAATGACACAATCTGGCAAATACTTAACAAAGTCCATGCTTCATCACAAATCTACACTGTAAAAATGATTACTTTACTTCCCATTGTGTTTATCAGTTAACATCGGTGTATGAATACACATATACAGGGAAAAGTAATCAAGTGATGTAGTTGAGGGTGGGAAAACATGTACTTAAATTACTTTAAAAACAGTTGGAGTGAAACTTTGATCAGTGCAGGTGCCTGACAACCCTCTTCATCTATAACTAAACATACTATAGAAGCTGGTCACAGAGTTAATATGTAAACAACTTTTCAAAGTTTTATATGGAAGCAGTCACAGGTGCACACTGAGATGTCTAAAAGCGATGGTTATACCCGAAGTGAAACCACTTCTGTGTATACAAAACAACATGTTCTTATACTACACCTACCTTGGTAAACTGTTTTTTTTACCAAGATTAGGACCAGTCACATCACTTTTCCTTTTTGTTTTCACATTTTTTAGATTCTAATCCCCTGTTATCTTAAATGTTTTATTCATGCTTCAATTATTCGGTTTTATATAAATTGACTTGAAAGGTAAATGCGCGATCAGATTGTTCCAAATGTATTGCGCAAATACATCACAATGCTCCGACTTCTAACTACTGTCCAAACTTATGAAAGGGATCAAGTGTTTTCAATACATAACAACTTTTTTGCATCCCCAGTGAACTTTTGTTAGTATTATTATTGCTTACAAAAATAGTCAACACATTCACTTTACTTCCTGCCTTTAAAATAGATGATGTCATGAATGTGTTTCAGAACACCATTCCACGTATAGCAAAAGTACACTTCTGCTTGAAGTGTTTAGAAATCATTGCATCCTGTCAGCTTCTTTGTGTAAGGTGACAAAACAGTCTAAGCATTTCTCGTCAACCTGAGGACATTTAGAGATATTCTTAGAAAGATTTTTGAAATCGTCTACTGACGCATGGATTCAACAGTCAAAAACCTTAATTTATGTATATATTGAATTGAGTGGTCAGTAAGACCTCATTGCCTTAAATCAATGCTGGTGCTATCAGCTCCTCAAAACACTCGTTGTCAAGAGACTCATTAATCGTAAAATTCAATCCAGTTGTGTAGATATTAACGTAAATCATACAACATTATATGGGCTTAGTTAACACTTACCTTAGTATATATAATCCATAAAATAAAACTGAGAATAAGGTCAAAAACTACAACAAGTAGGAATGTACGTCGAACTGGAGATGTTCTTTGTTCATCAGGTAGTCCTTCAATCACAGAACTAGAAGCTGCCAAGTTAATGCTTCGTAAAAATAAAAATATTAGGAATACCTTTTGTATATTTGAAAACATATAAATCACAAAAATATGAATAAAAAACAACTGAGAATCTATTGCTTCTAGTATCCCTTCGGCAAATGGTTATAACTGTCCATTAGAACATTAGAACCAATAAAATATTGAATTTGATAAGTTTTCATCACAAATCGACATTGACTGAGGAAGTGCTACAAACTAAGGACGAAGAGCATATACTACTAGATTCAAATGAAATTTTACTACGGTAAAAAAGGTTATTAGAATGCTTGGAACTAGGAGATAATTATTTACTGTTTTACCGGGGTTTCAGCTATATTTCATGTAATTCTATTTTGCAAAGAGAAGTATCTATGAAATTATAAATCTTCAGTAAACATTCATCTGAAATTATTGAATCTGTTAACATTTACACAACTACAACATGTAGCTATAGTTCCATGAGTCTGAAAGAAACCTTGAAACCATTTTCTGCGCAATCACACAATAAACATTGTATTGGCAATATTATGAAAACCATGCTTTAATCCATTGTACCACTAATTATTCACAATTTATTTCCTTTCAACTGCGAAATAGAGCAGTAGGATTTCAAAGTAAGCATAAGAAATGCCACATTACTATTATATCATGAAATAAGTGAAGTACATATGTGATCGGTTTGAGTACCACATACACGGTCATGAGAACGTCAAAATAATAATGTTTATTTTACCCAATTCGCTTTCTCATCTCTTTCGATATCTTTTTACTATACCTTTGGTTTTCACTTTTTAATTTTCCTTCACTATGCTGGTGGGAATAGTGATAACTCAAATAAATAAACAGTTTTCCGATACTCTACTATGATGACATAAGTGTCTGTCTCTTTGGTATGCAGTACAGTATGTCTAAACATAAATACCAGTAAAAATACTTATAGTTATTGTAACCGATATCAGATAAAGCATTCTACTTACAACAAATTAGCAGCAAGTTTGAGCCCGTGCATTTACTAAAGTTTGGATATCCAAACAGTACAGCGCTACTAACTCTCGCATAAAAAGTGTAACTCTCATTTTCTAGTGCGAGTTTGTAAATGAAAATCTCTGTGAATTATGATCTTACTACATAGGATTATGGATTTTTTTAAATTGGAAAGTTAGTGATAAGATATAGCGATTCACAACAATAAATGAACGGTTAAGCAAACTACTGAAAAACATTTCTGAGTTTACGCAAAAGTCGTCGAAATTTCAGGTAGAAAGAAAGAACAACAGTAAACATAAGGAAAAAACACACAGATATTATTCATAAAAAATTAGAAACATTTAATTTCACGAAGGAAAGTAAACCAAATAAAAGAACATAATTGACGAGCTTTATCACACAAGGCAGAATGTTAAACTAGATGAACTTATTACCATAGTCTAGCTGATTCATACAACTTGAGCGGAAAAGATGCAAATAGATTCGATAATTTTTGTAAGAAACTCAGTGACCTCAAAATGGATAATCAAACAGGCTCACATATAAGAATGAAAGAGTTGGCTTCCTGAAGAGTAAATCAAACAAACGGATCAGACAACTGAGTCACTCGATTGTCCGATAAAGACCGAGGAATTGAACAAAATCGTGCAATACTTTTGAAATATTTTATCAAACTCAAGATAAGTTTTTGTTTACAAAACCAGCGAACTGAATGACATTCTGCTGACAATAATGAGTAATATACAGAATACGAAGTCCTATCAACTAAATACTGTCACTATCTGATACATCCCAAAAAACTATTTGGTTGCAAATTATATGCCATGATCGGACCTTGGTGAGTAACCAACTTCATATTGGCTACTTCTAATCCCTAACCTCCTAAGATCGACCATTTCACAATGCACTCAAAAAAGAAAACTCGCCATCGACAGACACCCAGAAAAATATTACTAGAATCCAGGCAATCACTAGCATCCCCCATTGTATTCAACAAAATAAAACGAAAATTAAATCAGGATTTAAAACATTTTCCACCCACAAAAATTTCATACAAGCAATGAATTTCTAAACAAATTCAGGGGATTCATCACTCCTAGCAGTCCTCCTAAGCTACACAAACCACAAACTTCCGCAAGCACAACAGTAAGCAATCCTAGAGAACATGCATACACACAAATATAACAGGAACCGAGACATCGATTTCGGTGTAACAATATAGAAATGAACAGATTTTAAAGGTCAAGTGGTAATGCAGAAGGTAAGAGTGGATGTTCAAATTCAATGGTTTGGGGGTAGGTTGCATAATTAACCATGAGTTTGGATAGTAGTGCAGTATAAAGAGTCATGTGGACTTCAGGTAGGAAGACAAGAATAATAACAATATTGACATGGGTAAGAATTGAATCGGTTGAGGGTAGAATACGTCATTCAGAACAAGATACTCCATAGTCAACTAACCAGGTATAGTAAGAAAGCCAGGTGTGTATTGGGATGAATAGTAATGATAAGGAATAAGGTTAATTTAGCGAAAAATATTAGGAAAGGAACACAAAAATATAAGATAGAGGTGATAATTGAGGGCAAAGAGCAAGTAAAGAAGAGTGAATATGGTTAGACGACGTTGTATTTCCTACCATGGTAGATTCAAGCTGACTACCATTTCCTTCTGAATGCAGAGGTTTGGTTTGACAAATCGAATGACACAGCCCTCTGCAAATGCATGCGATTTCTTATTTTACTGTCTATTGACAATCGTAAACGACTTACAGGTATTAACATGGTGAAATAGAAAATATTTGTAGCTCAGGTGGATGGTCTTGATTGTGTTGTGTTCTCTGAGCTGGGTTGTTTAGTCCTGAAGCTTTCATTGTCTTTCTAGACGACATCATTTACACTAATTTCAGTCTGAAGTGAGCTGTCAGCATCTCTCCGTGGGTGATTTAGTAGCTCGCCCTGACGAAGTGGTCTGTGAATGGTTGTTTTCTTCGATTGTTGTGTCAGTGACTATATAGATTTCCCTGTCGGCTGTTCCTCTACTTGACCTCTGACCTTTCTGTCGGTTGTCATTTTTCTTATTGGTTGGTGATGTCGTCTAGAAAGACGATGAAAGTCTCATGACTGAACCACCGAGCCATTTTGATAGGTGCTCAAACATTCGTGTAGACAGATGCCTCTCTGTACGACCAATGTATTTGCTTCCGCAGATACATTCGAATTGATATATGCAGTTAGATGTGCCGAGGATCTCATCTCTGTCTTTCGCTGATTGTTGCATTACCTATTTGGTTGTGGTGAGGAGTTTGAGTTTAGCAGCGTAATCACTCCTTCGCTTAACGTGTCACCTTTAAATGGCAAGGTGACATAAATTTGCCTTTCCTGTACTGTTGGAGAAGTTGTTCCGCTTCCTACCCATTTCCCTTGCTTAATGGTGAAGCTTTCTGGGTACCTATTCTTCACTAGGACATTTTCCAAAGTCATCATGTCGTAGTCTACTGTGCTGTCGGAACAAATTTTCTTGGCTCTATTGAACAGCGTTCTAACTACATTCATTTTGTATTGGATCAGGACAAAGCTCTTTAAATAAAAGTACTGTCCCGTCCACGACGGTTTTCTATAGTTGGACCTTTCGATTGATTCATCGATTCTTTTCACCAGTGAGACATTTAAGAAACTGGTCATATTGCTTTCTTTGTACTCAGTCGTGAAGGCCAGATTTGAATAACATGAATTGAAGCTCTTTAGTAAAGCTTCTGCTTCCATTTCGCTTTTACACACAAGGAATATGTCATCCACATAACTCTGGTACAGCTTCATCTGATCTATGAAGCACTTCGAGCTACTAGTTCCTGGACTCGATAGAAATAAATAAGCTAAAAAGGCCCTCAGAGGGCTTCCCATTGCGACTGTGTCAATTTGGCAGAATAACTGTGCGTTGAACTGGAACTAGATGTTCTTGGTACATTGGTTTAGAAGCTTCCTCAACTTGTTTGTTGGGTTAGTGATATTATCGGCTTCTCGACGAGTACAGTCTATGGTTTCATCAGCTAGTACATTTGTGAACAGAGATGCAGTATCCAATGAAACAAGATGCTTACCAGTACTATTGAAATCGGTGATGTTTCCCACGAATTGGAAGGTGTCAGAAACAGTGTGTTTTCCCAGACGTCTGCGCAGTGCTTCGAGAGTTTCGCATAACCAGTGAGCTACCTTTATGATAGGGTGAGTTTTTATCATTGATAATATAGACTTTAAAGGCACCATTGGCTTATATATTCTAACACACCCATATAACTTTGGGATTTGTTACTCAATTGGTTTAATGCTTTTTAATATGGTTTCATCAATGTATTTAGCCTTGAGGAGCTGTTTTAGTTGTTGTACCGTATGCATTTCAATGTACGATGTTTGATCTTTGGCATTATAATCCGATTTGTCAGGGAGTAGTTTGTGCATCTATGTGACATAATCTTTATAACACAACACAACCAAGACCATCCACCTGAGCTACAAATATTTTCTATTTCACCATGTTAATACCTGTAAGTCGTTTACGATTGTCAATAGACAGTAAAATAAGAAATCGCATGCATTTGCAGAGGGCTGTGTCATTCGATTTGTCAAACCAAACCTCTGCATTCAGAAGGAAATGGTAGTCAGCTTGAATCTACCATGGTAGGAAATACAACGTCGTCTAACCATATTCACTCTTCTTTACTTGCTCTTTGCCCTCAATTATCACCTCTATCTTATATTTTTGTGTTCCTTTCCTAATATTTTTCGCTAAATTAACCTTATTCCTTATCATTACTATTCATCCCAATACACACCTGGCTTTCTTACTATACCTGGTTAGTTGACTATGGAGTATCTTGTTCTGAATGACGTATTCTACCCTCAACCGATTCAATTCTTACCCATGTCAATATTGTTATTATTCTTGTCTTCCTACCTGAAGTCCACATGACTCTTTATACTGCACTACTATCCAAACTCATGGTTAATTATGCAACCTACCCCCAAACCATTGAATTTGAACATCCACTCTTACCTTCTGCATTACCACTTGACCTTTAAAATCTGTTCATTTCTATATTGTTACACCGAAATCGATGTCTCGGTTCCTGTTATATTTGTGTGTATGCATGTTCTTTAGGATTGTTCAAAGGTATAGATAACGATGTATTGATACTGGGGGGTGACTAGAAGTAAAATAGAAAATCAGACCAGTATGAATACTAGTTTAATATGGTCAAAGTGATAACGAAGCATGTTGGGTATCCAGCTGACTAGTGCTACTGAAATTGAATTCATCGGACAGTTTTTCACATTATATATATATATATATATATATATATATATATATATATATATATATATATATATTGACATATAGCGGTTTTCAGTATGAATTTCTTAGAAGTTGCATGAAAAAACTCACTCTGAGCGTCCAAAAAGTAATCCAAATTGGTTATGGTATAAAGAGGAGAAATCGACATTTTCAACATCAACACCTACATGAAAAAAAGATCGCGGTGGTTAAGCAGTGATAAATATTGAAAGAAATCTGATTTAAGTTCACTTAATGAGAATGAAATGAAAGCACGGTGACTTTTTGGTGAGTTACGACCTTATGGTTAAAAAATGTCTGGAAGGACAATATGGCTATGTCCGGTCAACAAAGCAGTATTATTAACAGTATTTGTTCATAGATTAGCATCTGAAACTACGGGGCTCCAACAGTGCACTAAAACACATTACATTCACTTCAGTTTGATACATAAAGTAGCGTTGATAAGGATTTTTTTCAGTAAACATAGTTAAAAGCTAACGATATGGAGTTATAAAGGCCTGCCAGTATTTTTATTTACTACAACATTTGATTGAAAAATGCACACAGTTAAAGAAGGATATGGGTGTGGGGGAAACAGACTTAGAAAAAAATAATAGAGTCAACACGGTGGCAAATTAATTAGCAAACTACGGTGATTCTGACTCAGTTCGGATTATTAGTACGACCACTTTAAAAGTTTAAGCTTTTTTGTTACAATCCTTAGATTCTACAAATCAAAAGCTACATGTTTTAGACGAAAAAATAAAATCAGTTATAACGGCCAGATACACTTACTGCCTATTATTATTAATAATATTGAAATCCTAATAATCGTATTACGCTATCTATTTGTCTCATATTTCCCTTCAGTTATCTCATTACTTATCTGTTTCCTTTTCTTCTAATGCTATTCCTTGAAGACCCAACCGACAGGTGCTGACTTGACGTGGTGGTCGGCCTTGCACATCACAATGAACCGAGTTATACTGGTGGAATGCTTGTTCCCTCGAGGTGCTACCATGCCAGAAAGGTCTGTTGGATAGTAGTGAAACGAAGAGTAATTACAGTCATAGTGTAAATTACTACACTATGGGGTTCTGAGGGCGAAGTCGTACTGCTACGACCTGGATGGGGTGTAATAGCAGCAACGTGTCCCCCTTGTACGACCAGCAGTGACACGCTGATGCTGCCTTCCTAGTGACAAGGGGCGGAGATTAGAAAACATCGCCCCCCAAAATAACATTCCACGCTGCCGCCAAGCCACCCCGGCGTTACAGCAACCAAACCTTTAAAAAAACCGCATAAAAGCCAGTGTGTGACAGGCCGCAAGCAGATGTCCCTTGGGCTCTGCAGTCACAAATATTTATTTATTGAAAGTATTCGATGTCAGTATCTTCTTACCACTGCCCACATGTGGTGAAACCCCTATATGGGTTGTTATACGTGTAGACTACTACACAACGAATGCATACCAATGAAATAGTGAGACGTCACCCACTAGGGTGGCTCACGTATATGTTGCACACGCAGAGCTATCAGCTACACTGATGTGTGATTTTATCTAAATTGGGTTTAAGTTGGAAAACAACATAAAGGCAGGTGGAAAGAGATATAAAAGCAGTCTGTTAAACTTTTTAATACTGATCTGAGCAGTTTAAAAAATGAAGGCTACATAAATGGAATCCTCAAGATGGTTAGGATCAGTATTTCTTTAACTTAGTGATACGGTCCAAGATCATAAAGACGGGGATACATGCAGTTTCTGTCAGTAAAAATCCGAATACTTTAATTCCGTTGTTTTTCTAGCCTCCCCTCAAACATTCTTATCGACCTTGATGTTATTCTTTCCCCCTCTATTTGTTTGTTGCATGAGCGGTGGGGCAACCTGGACTCGTGCACTTCTATGTCAGTTCCTACTTTTATTTACTCCAATGAAGTTGCAAAAGTGAAACCATCTGAGCAACCAATATGCATAAGTGATATCAATTTTACTTATTCATTCCATTTAAGTTAGTTGGTTACACATCATGCAAAAGGTCTGAAAAACATGTTCATTGATCGGTACTATGGTTTGCATACGAACGAATGAATCAATTGGTCAATTAGAAAACTAAGTGTGTTTTACAAAACTGGATGTCAAACAAGATATAGGACCAAAAACGCAAGTTCAGCGTACAATAAGATATCGTAGACAGGGATGGAAATAGGATAAAAGTAGAAAGTACGATTAGATTTTAGGAGCTGGTTTAGGTCACAAGACTCATGCACAGGTTCGTTCTTGATTATTGTGGTATAAAGGAAAGCTAATAGACAAAAAGATACGCAGTGCATGGTTTTTTAGGCTGAGGAACTCAACATCTGCAACAGAGTGAGAGCTCGTATTCCGATCTTGCAGTGAAGCTTTCAAAACACAGCCAACAAAAGTGAATCAATACTGCCAGTTTGAGGGTGAAGATTTTCGTCAAACAAAACTCCTACCAGGAAAAAAGAATACAAGCCCTATAAGTATGTATGCACTTGCAAATGTCAAATATCTTACGTTTATGATATTCATAGACATGCAATAAACTCATATCTAATTTTAACCTTGCATCTAGAACGACAACAGCCAAAAACCTGATGAAGCTTTTCCAGCATAAAACTGGGGCTGTATATGCATTGACTTCATTCTCAAGCAATAAGCCTCCTCACTCGTTAACTCAGTGCAAATAATCCACCGCTGCTCTTTATCAATCCTAAATAGAAAATGGGTTGTTTTTCCCAGCTGTATGCAGCTATCGAAATGTGTACAAAAGATTAAAAAACGCCTGAACATAATATTTTGTAGAATTGTGGTTTCGCAACTGTCGGGTTTGAAATCACGAAGATCTTAAAAAATCTCCACCTGCTTAAATTTTAGTATTCCATTTGGATAGTAAACACGGAGTGGTTCGGACTGATAAATCAACGCCAACTTGGCTTGTCATTTATGTTCTAAAAACGGTCAAAAAATGCACCCTTTACAGATATCTACCGGTTGGACTGTTCAAATATAAAAAGATGAGATGGATGGCAAATCGCAACACATCTTCAATGCCCTATGATTAAGTTTCAAAATGAACCATTCAAAGATTTTTTCACAAAACACTCCCTTCTGAATGAAGTCTCAGTGACGAAACCTTTCTTAAGGGTATAGTACGGAACAATCCCACTACACCACTCCCTCAACTCCATTACTTCAAAGCAGCGTCTAATTATTGATTTGATTGTGGACTTAAAACTTGGATTTGCGAATAAATTCATGCAGAAAATTTTAATCTGGGGTCCAGAACAAATACACTTTGACTTGAGACATAAAACGTTTGTCAACGGTAAAATATACCACAGTGAGGGAAGCTACAACCTCATATGAGCCAGTCACATGAAATTTTACACACACCCATGTGACACCCAACAGCACCAACAAAGACTGAAAATACGCAGAAATAAATATTCAGGAGCGAGGCAATTGAAACAGATTCCTGAGGAAACTAGTAGCACCCGTAAATCCCGCTCAAATTTGTCGGAAAAAACAGATTAGTTAGATATGTAACAATGTTGTCTTACAAGCAACGCTAGCAAGAATAGATCACATGACGCAGTAGTTGAATTACGAAGTATTAGAGTTAGTCAGACTGTTACAGCTACTGCTAGAGAATGGAATAAGATGAACCAATGAATTGAAACCCTGGATGTTTTGCGTTGCCACTGTGACTTCAGAGCATTAAAATCCTGAATAATGTAACCCAAGTCGACATGTACGGGTCAGGATATGAACGATTCCTAACAAAATCTCGGCAGTTAAGACAGTCCGCAAATACATTAGAGAACTTAACTGAGGTTGTGACATCCTAACATCTAAAATAGATTGTGCAAGTATGGAAAACTTTCAGATTATCAGCTCCAGAGTACATTGTTTGAACTAATTGGTTCCTTCAACTCCTTCATATTTCTTTTCACCGTCATTTTCAAAACTTAAGAACTACGCGGTATATTTGACAAACAAAAATGCAAGTCTGAATACTAAAAATTACCCACATGTACCTGGGTCTCTCATTCCGTATGCACATCACCAGTTTTGCCTACCGCATCAGAACTATTGAATTCCCACCTAGAATTCCATTGTCCAATAACCTTCTTCAAATCTTAGGTGATAAAGGAAGAACATAACGCTGAAGCTGGATCACTCAAGGTCAGTGGAAACTGAAACAACCGACCATGGCACTTTGTGTCTTGATAAGCGGTCTAGGTAAGAAAAGTTCTTTTGTCTGTCTGTCTATCTGAAATCATTAGCTAACGACGATTCCTCGAGTTCCGCATCTGTGTTACTTTAAATGATCCTGGTTTTGAGTGATCACAGTTGTCTTCCTGGTTCCAGAAAATCCGAAAATATGGAGATATCTGACTGCTAATTAATCTGCTCCCTGGGGGCAGTGTTTCTCCTTACCCTGGTCTGTAGATGATGTAAAGCTTCTCGAGTATAGTCCATCGGTGCCACAAAACTATAAATGTGCATCTGACCTTCTTTTGAATGTATCAGGACAATGGGTTGTAATTCCGCAGGAAGGCACTTCCAATGCAAATCAGTTAGCACGCATCTTTGTACGCGCTCTTCCATCCTCTAATGTTAACGGGTGGCCTCTATGGAGGAGATTCTGATTAAAGACTAAGGGAAATCTATTAATATGAAAGGGGCAATGAACTGAAGCTCTACGTGTCCCACCCAGGGTAACTCTCCGATTTTCATCAGTGCCTGACTGACAGATATTTATTTTACCTAGCTAATGAAAACTGGGACTGTTTCTATTTCTGTCAACAATCCCTATCCTGCACTTCCTCGCGTTGACGAGGAACAGGTTTCCGGTATTCCAATCTTGGATTTTGTGAAAGTCCCCTGGAGGGCTGGAATGTCGATTGGCTTCTGCATTTCCTGCCAGATCTTTGGATCACTGGCATATAATAGTGTAGGCCGGAGGATCCTGGTAGGTCATTGATAAGAGCAATAGTGAAAAAGAACAGAAACTTGAAGCACACCACCCACTGATTGATATAATGAATATGAAATCCAGTTTAAGCAGCCTAGTACCATAAATCATGCTACACCCATGGATGAGGATGATCGTAAACCTCTGACTACCCATCAGAAAAAATGACACGGACACTTGACCAGATGGTGTTGGTGAAGGCCATGGAGCGGTTGTCAGTAGTTTGCAGCATGATGCAAAATGTTTGGTGCAATCCAGGCTTTCTAAAGCTAAACCCTGCACTGTAATTTCAAGAAAGGTCCTCAAGGAGTACCACACCTATGAGGGGAGCAGGTGGGATGACACATACTGATTATTCCCACACGGAGGCTGTTGGCAGCTGTATCCTATTCACAGTTATTATTCACGGGGCCCAAGCTGCTTTGCACTGTGAAAACGACAGCCCAAGAGGTGTAGAGATAAACCCCGAATGCCTCGAAAATATTGTCTGCAGCAAAGTGGCTGCCGTTAAAATTTTTATGATAGTAAACCCCTTTTGGCTAAACTGTGTAGTTAATACGGTAGCCATCACTTCCTCAACTTCAAAACCATGATGACAGGAAAGCTGGGTAAACTGACACTTGCCAGTTGCTGAACTACTGCACTAACTCAGTGTCCCATCTCCCCAAGTAGCCATTTTGCCACCAACAAAAAGCCATCAGTGGAATCTGTAGGCGGACTCCCAACAAGGGGTCTGACAACTAATGAAATGGTTGCTAACATGATTCTGACTGCTACCCAGGCAGCCTACGCACGTGAAACCTTAACTGACAACTTCAACAAACCAACACCCGAGTTGGAGCTTATCAAGAACTGCCATCAGGTCCTTGTATAAGCGATACTGACATGCTTTCTTAATGATACAACTGACAGAAAAGATCGTGAAGGACATAGCGGCGCCAGGTAAAAGTGGGTAAGTGCTCGGCCACCTTATTCAATTATACCTTCCTGTTAAGGCCGAAATCACTGAGTAGCTGGTGACGAAGATATGAATCTCAGGAGCTCACAAACCAAAACCTCAACCTCAGAATATTGACAAACAAGAAACGTATGTTCAAATTTAAGATGAATCCTGTGAAACATTGTTCTTTACTCTCGCGAAGTCTGATTACAAACCTTCAACTTTATGGCCACCATAGTTTCCGAGGAAAGCAGAATAACGTGATGCCACAAATGGAAACAAGAACCTAAATATGGACATGCAAATGAATTGAACGAAGTCTACCAAAACGAGTGGTCAACGCTTTTGAACACATTACAAGGACAAAATCAAAGTACATGAGAAACTTTCAGTAAAAGACACTTTACAACCTTTCGTAGGAAAAATTAACCTGGCTCTTTTAAAAATTTACCTCATATCGAACTATCAAATTCGAGCAGGTTCTCACAGTCATTTGGTTTATGTGAATAGATGGACGATGGGTTAGTAGAATTATGGTGATAACTATGAAATCCATGCCCACATGACTGGAGCCCCCTTAGGATGAACGAATACGCGTCGTAAGTCAAAGGTATAATCTACGCCTCTATTGAAACACGTGTGCCTGGAGTGACCAAGGGAGTGTCAATACGGATGTCCTGGGTGAGTCACACAATTCGTCTTTTAGTACATGCAAAGTGGAGAGTTTGGCCTTGGTGGTACATATGAGATGATGAATTGTATCTAGTGTTAACAAAACAATTTTCACATTCCACAACATTAGGGTTCATAAGGTAATGTTAAATTATCGGACTAAACAGAAGGAACGATTGCGTTTGTGGAGACTGCATACAACTGTGTATAAACCACTTCAACTATAAGCAATATTTCCTTTTCATCGTTTATTTTACACACTCTGTATATTATTCATAATACTTGCGAAAACGAATGTTGTTTATATACACAATTTTTTGGTTGTGGTGGTAGTTGCATCTTTTGCTGCTGCTAATCGTGGAAATATAATGTGCTTCTAACCATTCCAACGTCTGCCTCCGTGACTATTACCTGTCGTGCATAATAACTGATTGTCTTGGGAATTTACAGGACTTCTCATCCTACTTCCAAATATTACGACAATCAAGCCGACCGACGACCACAGAGGAGAGACGACAAATATCGCCTTCTGATCCCTGGAGTGTCCTACAATTGTGGTGGACGATACCGAAGAAATAACCTCCAAGTAACCCGTGATTATCTATAACATCGACAATACTATTTTGTGCTATAACGTATGACTTTTCACACACGTGTATCATAAAATCCATTCTTCTTGTGAATTGTACGAAGTTTATTATTTAGGTGTACTTGACATCCTTTGGGTCCACTACACATTATTGGTGAGCCCGATTTAGCGAACTTTCTTTGCTTCGTAGCTATATTTAGAGTTTGATTTTGTTTATTCTTCGGCCACTAATGAGTTCCCCACGAGTTACCTCCCCAAGCTTGCCAAATGGGCAGGGTAGTGGTGATGTGCAGACGAGCTCATCATACGCCATATCGGACATACAACTTCCCCCGTATGGTTTTAACAGCCCCCGTATAGGGTTTGCTCAAATTGAGGCTCTTTTCATGGTACATGGCGTACGCTCCTGAGCATCTGAATATGTTTATGTGGTAGGGGCCTTAGTCATTGAGGTCGCCATCGAAGTCGGAGACTTCATGGACAATGTTCCCGAAGAGGCACCTTGTGACAAACTGAAGTCAGCAGTTATCCGGCGGACATCTATGTCCTATGAGGAACGGCTGCAGCACTTACTTACTTCATATGAACTGGGGGATAGAAAGCCTTCACAACTGCTTCGGTACATGAAGCAGCTAGCCGGTTCACATCAATTCGGCGAGGCTGTTCTCAAGCAGCTATGGCTTCAGCGGCTTCCATTCAATGTGCGGCAGATACTCAGTATCTCGGCGACAACTACCGAACTGGATAGCTAAGCTAACATGGCTGACAAAATGGTGGAAGTCTACCCAGATAACCTTTCTGATAGCCATTTGATGACAACCACAACCAATAGCCCCCAGTTTAACCTGCCATCAACCCCTACCCACTCCTCCAGTACTCAGTCACAGTTAGCTGACTTAACGTCCAAGTTTGGAGCGTTGGCAGCTAAGGTGTCGAATATTGAAGTTCGTCATCCACGGTCCATATTTCGTAAACGATCGACCAACGGGCACCGATCTCGCTCACCTAAAGCCGCACATGAGATCTGCTATTACCACAGAAAGTTTGGTCACAAAGCCAACCGGTGTACTGGACCCTGCACTTTTGATAAAAGATCATCGTCAGACCAGGGAAGCGGGTCAGCCAGATAGTGAGGGCGACAGCTGTTACTGGCAACCATTCTAGTCGCCTCTTCTTCATGACGGATAAAACTTCGGGCTCCCGGTTTTTAGTTGACACCGGTGCCGAAGTTAGTGTTATTCCACTCTCACTTTCACGGTGACCATCAACAACCTCCAGCAAGTTATCTCTTCAAGCTGCGAACAAAACTTGCATATCAACGTTCGGTGAGCAGTCACTGATATTAGATCTTAGCCTACGCCACCGATTCACCTGGATTTTCATCGTCGCCGATGTACTTCATCCTATATTAGAGGCCGACCTCTCAAGTGCTTTCAATCTGCTAGTTGATGTTGACAAGAAGAAGCTGATTGATGCATGCACAAAGCTAAGCGTCCAAGGCATCGTGTCAGATTATTCTGTCCATAGCGTCTGCATTGCAAAACCTGAGGATGACAGATATGCGCATCTGCTCCAGAACTTCTCCAGCATAGGAAAACCCAACTGTGACATCGAGGGAGTATGCCACACAACAGTACATAAGATTGTCACCAAAGGCCAAGCCGTCCGTGCACGACCCCGACACCTACCACCTGACAAGTTAGCCGCCGCCAAAGCCAAATTCGAACATATGATGCAGCTGGGCATAATACGGCCGTCCAACAGCGCTTGGGCTTCGCCACTGCACAT